CATTGCTTTGGGTACAGAGCTTTTCATGGACCTAGGAAAAGAAAATGGCTACAGGGCGATTCATCCTGGCCTGAGGATCAGCTTTTCTTCTATATTCACTTTGCCAAGGCACTGGGCAGTTCTTGGAACACAATAAATTATGTTTAATAATTGTGTGTTGAATAAGAGCATAAATGAATAAAATTACCTTACAGAAATTTGCTTTCCATCATTGAACTCTGGAGTCTGGTTTCCTTTTATGTTTGCTGTATTAAGTCTTGGTATCTTGCCCTCCTTTAGTACCTCTTCTTATAAATGTAGCCTTTTCCTGACAACAATCAATGCTTTCTAGCTGCATTGCCTACACTTTGTTTCATTTTAGAAAACTGATTCTTCAGCCCATCTAACTGTTGTCTTAGCCTCCTGACTTTTATACCACTAATCTCCCTCCTTTGAGATCATAAATATTTAAATCTCAGCTGTTTCAACCCACACTGTTATTCTCGCCTAATTTCTCCCCATCTTCTAAGAGACTAGCTTGAAGATGTTGCCAGGCATGACCAAAAATTTCAATTATTTGAGGTGTGTTCTATTTCAGTTTTCAGCATTTCCAGAGTGTATTCTGCTGGGAAGAATTAATTTCAACTTCTTCATCTTGATAATATGGTAGTGGTAAGGGAACAGGGTGGAAAATGAGGGTATATATTTATGTCTGTGCCCAAGAAAACACTCTTGTCTTTGCTCCTAATCTGTAATCTCATTCCGCATTTCCTTATGTCATGTTACCATCTGTACCTATTGCTGTCTGTATAATACCCTTCTTTTCTTCAAAATCTCAGTAAATATTAACTGTCACTATAATGGCAAGCACTCCTTTGGTAGAAAATGTAAATTTATAATAAAAACAAAGCTATTTGTTTTTAAATTTTAGTAACAATTTTCAAATTAATCTTAGCTTTGAAGAGACTATCTAAATTAGGGAAGTTTTTCATGGAGAGAGAAAATTGCCTTGATTAACTATCCACAAAATAGACAAGCATGAGATTAACTGGAAAAGAAGTGGAATGCATTATTCACTTTATGCTGCATACCATCTTAAGACATTCACTATTATTACAAAGCAGACTGTGGATGCTATGATAGGTATGGGAGAAGATATATGACTACTTACAGAAATGAAGATTGTAGTGGTATTTATTCATACCTTTCTTGCTGGTTTTTTTAATGTATATAATTTAATATGTCACCATTATAGCTCCCAATACTATCTATTGTAAACTGTTTTTAACAATGTTAAGAGTGGTTAATTTTATAAATTTAATCTTTAAGTTACAGAATAACAAATGAAGATCATGATGTGCTAGAAAAAAGAATATTATCCAAAGATAAATTCAGGGACAGAATGGAATTTACAACTCAGCCTTTGGGAAGAAGTGGAAAAAGTCTTCATATGATCAAGGAGGTGTTGCGTCATGCTAGAAAGAAGAAGGATGTTGTTGTATTGCTATTTGGAAGTTTGTCATGGCTAAAAGGGTAAATATGGGTGCTGAGTTGGAAGAGTACATTGCAGAAGAGATTGCAAAAACTCTACTTCCTAGAACCTACTTCCTATACAATCTCAGATTCGGATCTGTTAATAAGAAGCACCAGTGAGACTTAGAAGACAGAAGTTGAAAGGTGTCAGAGGGCACGGGGGAGGGGGGACAGATGTTTGGGGCAGACAATAGGTGTGAGGTTCAAAGCAGCTCCCATATTATACTCAGAATACATAGAATGACTTCCGTTTACTTTCCTGAAACCTTACTGATTCAGTGAGAAAACAAAAAAAACCCTTCTTTGGGTTAAGAATGAAGTAATTATTCCTCATCAACTTTCCTCCAATCTAAACCCTAAAGGCGTTTAAGTTTGTGACCCTGGAATACACAATAGTTTATGATGGGTGATAAAAATGGCTCTGAACTAGTGGTCTGCCCTCAAGCAGTATTGAAAAGAGAACATATACATGAAGAGAAAATAAAAATATAAAGTACCATAACCTAAGAATGAAATTAAGGTACAAAGGAAGTCTCTGCAAAGTTTAAAAGAGCTAACACCAACCTCTCTTCAGAGCCTTTGCAAGTACCCTCTCCACTGCTGGAGAGCGCTCCATTCTAAAGCCAGTCCTTTTGCTTTCTTCAAGTCTCAGCTTGAATGTCAGTTCTTCCCTGATTGACCACCCAACCTAAATTAAGTTTCTTTATTCTCTTTCAGAGCACCCAGTTTCTTTGCCTTCACTGCATTCATTACATTCTGAAATGATTTATCCACAAATATATGTGCTTAATTAGCATGTGTCTCCTCTACCAGACTGTAAACTGCAAGAGGCCTAAGACCAAGCCTGTTCTGTCAGCTGCTTCATATCCAGTGCCTAGAAAACAGTAGATGTTTAATAAATATTTGCTGAATGAATAAATGAATGATTGAGTGGTTAGTAAAAGCAGACATTAAGAGCTGGGTGAAACAAATAATCTTTAAAAAAATAGTCATTAGTATTTGACTCAAGAATACTAGCCAATAATTTGAAATAATGATATGGGGTTTTTTTTGTTGCTTAGTTCCCTATGTGGTGAGAAAAGAATGCTGGCATTCCAATATTTACTAAAGTCTTTCTGGGATATTGGAAATAGAGAAGAAAATTACCCTTGCCTTTCCCATATATTCTTCAATTTCTCTTAAATTTTAATTCCAACTGATTGTATTCATAGTCTTTCATTTTTATATGGTATCTATAAAGGAAAAGTATTTTATATATTTATAAAAAGAAGAGTTCTTTGGTGCAATTAAAATAAGCGTATCTGATGGAGCTACACATGGAATTATTTAGCAACAATTACTGTTTGGCAGAAGATTTTTTAAATAGAAATTTGTGCTTATTGAACAACAAAACCGAAGTAAAACTGACAATGTTTTGATAATTTGGAGACATATTGTAAACACTGTGAAAAGATCTGCCTTCTTGTTTGAAGCTACACTGATCAGCACATTGACCTCTGTCTGGAAATGCATTAACCTCTTTTTATAGTAAAGAAATTTGAGAGCTCTGCTATTTTTCTTCTTTAGAAACTTTCACTAAGATACAAAGCAATTTTTGGCAGGTAGCATTATTTTTATTCTTAGAGAAGAGAGACCCATGTCTACATTTGTGTGCAATCTATAAAGCTACAGTTTGTTTAATCCAAAATGTAATGTGAAAGCAGGACCCAAAACAAATTTGCATAGTTCTCACAAGCAGGGCTCATGTATGAATTATATACATCATTGCATTATTTGTAGTAAACTGCATGCACTTAATATTTAGAAAGATTTGTATTTACTTTGTTCCCTGCTAATAGACTCTCCCAAGGAAATTAATTTTTATTTTTATTAGAGCAAACAATAATGTGAATATTTAAGCTCAGAAGCTCTCTTTAATTACTGGATTCTAGTGGCCCTCTCTGTTTAAATCTGGACATTTTAAGATATTGTGACAGTATTTTTATTACTTAAAAGATAAAAAAATGAAATGAAAATATAACTCAGTTAAATGAGCTGTTACACATTTGGTTAACTTAGTTTTAAAACTAGATTGTTTCTTTTTTGTCATTTTGATTTTCTTTCACATTCTGAACCATAGGCTACCTTTGCTGATGTTATTCCTGCAATTTAAGATGTTCTTGGTTTTTATGATTTGAACAGAACGCAACACTGCCAAAATTGTATCATGAAGAAAATGAAGGTCATTTGGAGCACCAGCCAAACCACTACTAATTAACTCATTAAAAGGTCACTTTTTTTTAAATGTAAGATTTATTAAGGTATACTTTACATACAATAAAGTACAATTGGGTGAGGTTTAACAAATGCAGTCTTGGAACGATCACCAGTGTAGATGAAATATTTTCATTACCCCCAAAATTCCATTAGCCTCCTTTGCTGCCCATCTCCTTCCTCCCAGGCACACAGAAGGTAATGAGGAGTTACCCACTGGATACAGTGACTTCTAAAGTACAGTAACTAGAATTCAATCCATGTACAACAAAGAAACTAGTCATTTACTCCATCGACCACAAAATACAACGGGAAAATCAACTGTAATAAAGCAATTCTCAGTATGTAAAAAGCCAATTTGTGACCTTGTAGCACAATTACTGGGAATGTTTAGACAGCCTTTACTTCACAACTGCTGGGCCTTTTCACTTGGTTGATTCCACCATCCATGGGATTTAAGCCATCTTTACCCTTTAAGGGAGCAAGTCCCAAATAAGACTATTTATACTGAAGAATTTTTTTTTTTTTTTTTTTTTTTGGTGCACATACTCCTTGGGCTCTATCAGATCTAGTAAAACAACTTTCAAAGGTTCTTGTTAAAGGATCCCTAGGCCAAAGAAACACTGCCCTGTAACAATGCTAGTCTTATAAAGCCCACACAACTTTGAAGTATAGTTTTTTCTAACAGAACAACAAAATAATGAAATACATAGAATTTTTTATATTTTCCCGTTCAATTCTTGAGCTCAAGAATACATAAATAAGTTTGGCAAATGAATCCTCCAAAATATCTTGTCACCCACTGCATTTGAAGTACTTTTCATGGCTCTAATATATTTATACCTGGATACTCTAGACTGGGGGGAAAAACATTTACACAAGAAGATAGCATTAGCTGTGAATTTGCTAGGATACTTTCAAGTGTCTTGGTTCAAAAATGAAGGTACTGTCCTGTGATGTTTGAAATTCAAGTAACTTTTATTTAAATTGAAAACAATTCTTAAAACTGCACTAATAGTTAAAACCCTTTGTTATGAACATCCTAATAAGTATTTCTAGACAAGGCAAAAGTAGTTCTAGGTTAATAAGACCAGATTTGGCTTGAGGCTATCTTTTAAATTATAGAGAATGAGGGAAAAAATAGCTTATTTACAGAGAACATTATCTACATATATACTCAGGTACAAATTTGGTAACAAAAGAGACTTTTAAGGGCATGCTGGAATCTCAGAAGCAGTTCTCAAAGAGCTTAGTTTTATTTTCTCAGACTTTGAAACTGCCTAAGATCCTTCTTCATCCTCAATCTTGGGAGCCAGATAGTACTTTAAATGTCCCATATCAGCAATTTTATACTCTACAACAAGGGGTACATCTGCAGACATACTGAGTGTTACAGTAGGAGAGAGTGGAGTAGCTTTTGTAAAGAAGTTTGGATACCCCAGTGCAAAAGTTAGCTGAACAGGCTCATTCATCTCTATGGTAACAGCTTCCTCTTCTTTATCAACATTACTTGTTTGTGACAACTTAATATTTCCATTTCCAAGTTCCCCACTTCCCGAAAACTTTTCTCCGTCTTTTGCACAGGAAATTACAACAGCATCTCCGATTTGACTGAAATCTCGGCATACACGTGCAAATTCACCAGAAGTCATCTTTACCACACAGCTATGCTCTTGTTCTGGAATTCCATGTTGTTCAACATCTCAATCCATTAACTTCATTTCATAGTCTGAAACTATTTCTTGATTTGGAGCTTTGAATACTAGTGCCAATGTGTCCGCATTATCTTCAGGCCTTAGGGTAATGATGTCTTCGTTGCCAGCACATTTTAGTATTTTGGACATGCTGGTGAGGTTCACACCCATGGCCAGGTTGCAGTCGCAGCGGTAGGTGTCGAAGCCCTCTGAGTGCAGGGTGAGCTGCACCACAGACACGTGGGACGAGTCCATGCTCTGCAGATTCACGCTGCTCAAGCTGAGATCCCAGCAGTCCTCATTGATGAGATCCTTAAGCACCTCTGGGTCCTTTTTCAGGATGGAGCCCTGGATCAAGGGCGCTTGGAACATGGTCGCGGAATCACAACAACGCAGCTAGAGATGAAGGGAAGTAGGACGTATGCCCTTGTGCTTCACAGAAGGAGAGCGAGCAGGCAGCGCCTGAGATAGAGGAAGATCATCACAGAGTTCAGCCAGCAGCCGAGTAACAACAAAGCAACTGCGAGCCCCAGCTCTCTATCCCTCTGTCCCCTGACAAGACATTACCAGGCTACCCCCCATAGCTGCTAAGAGGCCACTTTTATCAGTCACCTGTTGGCAACAGTTTGTCATATAACAACCAACCATAAAATCTTCCAGATATTTACCAATAAGCATTAATTGCTGTCACATCTAAGTGCCCTGGGGCAGCTGATCTGAGCTGGGTTTGTCTACACACCTCCCTGGCTATAGTGCTGCCTAGGTCTGCTCCAGTGGCTTGGCTCCCAGCAGACTCAGTCTGGGGCCCAGCTGCAGGGAGAGCAATCATCCAGAGGAAGTGGCTTCTGTGGCAGTAACAGGAGGCAGAGAGGCAAACTGGAAGCAGAGAAGACCTTCTAAAGCCTAGATTGAAAACCAGCACGCTGTCATTTTTGCCCGCATTCCTTTGACCCAAGCAAGCCTGCAGATGAGCTGAAGGTCAAGGAAGTAAAGTTTGTGCTTTGGGGGGAGACACTGCAAAGTTGCTAGTAAAAGAGACTGTGAAGAGGTAATAACAGTTCAGCCTGTCACTGTCATCAATCACTGATTTTGATGATCTTCCACCAATTATTAGGCCTTAGATAGGTAGTTTCCAAATGAATTTCTATATTAACACATTGCATATCACATAGAAATCTCTTAAGACATACACCAGGGTCAAATGACCAAAATACAATGTAACTGTAATGCTTTATGGGTTCATGCAATTATATAGTTTTTCGTAGTTTGACCTGCACAGTTTCCACCAATGAGATCGCTTCATTCGATGTAGACAAGACAGTTGTTGACATCTAAAGTCCATAACAGAGGGTGCGTGAAAAACGAGAAAACTCATGAGCGTTACAAAATGTGTTAATATCATGGCAACCCAATATCCTTTGCATTTGATGGCAGGAATAGCAGCAGTGACAATATTAGGTTCACCCTACACACACACACACACACACACACACACACAGTTTGAGGTGAAATTAATAATGACTTAGTCAAAAATTTAAAAATCAGTTTAAATAATACCTAACACATTGGTAACTGTTGTGTCTCATTGGATAGTTTTGTATTAAATAAAGACAGCAGGTCCCACAAGAAAACATGCTTAGTTTCATTTCCTTGGTTAACCTGAAATGTTCATTTACTAGCAGGTCCTATAAGAGAAACATTTACTCTTGGGCATTAAATACTGTTTTTTTTTAATTTTTTTAATTGTTGTTCAGTTACAGTTGTCTCCATTTTTACCTCCATTGCTCTCCCTTGCCGCATCTAACCCCTGCTCCCATGGGAATCTCAAAGGTACAAATATAGATTTTATTATTTTATTTAAAGATATTTTAAAGTTAATTTTACTTGCTTTTTAGTTTATTTGTTTACAGTTTCTCAGCTATGTAATCACATGTTTTCAAGGAAATTCCTAATACTGCATCAGATATAGTTAAATTTTGTTTGATTTTATTAATGATGCAGAACTTTTTAATTGTGTTACTTAAGAAAAAACACTTACGCAGTGTCTCATATGGTTTGTTAATAGTTCTCACTGGTCTGAAAGTTTTGGGTTAGCTTCAGAAACTCTCCTCAGTGCATATCTCTGTAGTCTTCTGGGATTTTCTTCCTCTCTTTTCCCTCTTCCCCTATGTTGTCAACTATCTCAAATGAAACATCATGCTACTATTTGTTCATCAGAGACTATCATGACAAAAATGACAGATATTTGTTGAAACGGTATAACAGTACACTTATGCATTTATTTCCAATATATGAAACTCATTTTAAAAGATGAAATCTTGTTCATTTACTAAATTTTCTTCAGTGAATATTTTATGCATATTACCTCTCAAAATGTAAATAAGAAACCAGCAAAGAAGATTCTATTATTTATAACTTTTCTAGTATTCGATGCAAAATTTTTCAGTCTGAGAGTTCTGGGGTTATGTAGCTAAAACCACTAACCATCTTTTCAGCTGTTTCATATTCTTAGTACTTCTATTACCAGTCTCTATGTGACTAACTGTGCATTCTTACACAATACACAAACTGTTGTACATTTTTTTTTTCTGGTGGAAATTCTAGAGGAAAGTAGTTGTTTATAAGGTCAGAGGTCTTAACTCATTCAACCAGTCCAAGCTAGTCCTCAGCTGGTCTTCATCAATATAATCACACCTCCTATTAAAATGTTAAAAGTCTGTTATAACAGTTAGTAAATAGGAGCTGTCTTGAGTCCCTGAGCATCCTGCTTCCTTCTTCATGGATCCTCCCGTAACCCCTCAGTTCTAAGCACACAGCAACTAACGGGCCTGCCTCAGGCATTCCAGGGGCCTCCAGGGCCTCTCCCTGAACCAGCCATACGAGGCATCTATGTTGACTGCTCAACTCTCATCCAATACCAGCTTTAAAATATTTTAAAATACTATAATTGCAGCCATGGGGAGAAATGCCTCATAGTAAATGTGGTCTAAAAGGGGAAGCAGGAAGGACTCAATTGCAGAAAGCAGTAAGGTGGTAGAGAGAAAAATCACAGTGCACATGCACCCTTCTGTTGTCAGTATTGAGTTCCTGTCACTTCCTAGTTGTGTAATCTCGGTAAGAATTCAACCACAAATGGGCACCAAATTCTTTAACTTTAAAGTGAGTATGATAATACCCATTTTGTATAGGATAATGTTTGAAACATGAGGCAATATTTAAAAGTGCCCGAGTCCATTGCAAGCATTTAAGAAGTGATACCAACTATAATCAACTCTGTGCTTAATCTATAGAATTGAGAAGAGTCTGTAGTCCTGATGTATCTCCTTCAGTCATTGTCCTGAATACAGTTGCTGTAATAAGCACTGACAGCAGAGGGGGCTTCAACTGGGTGCTGAAGGACTTTGCATCTAAGGTTGAAGGGACACACAAAAAAATCCTATTTATTTCTGCTAACTTGCTACAGGGTATTGGCACACTGGCTGTCTATGGGTAAACTTAATATCTTGATTAGCTCTCCTGAGAATGCCTCTGGAAACTATTACATGAAGTGGGAGGAGGAAGACTGGCTAATACCTATGGTGGCTTCAAAATAGTCTACAGAGGTCTAGTTGCTGAGAATTGTGAGGTGTTTGTTACCTTGACAACCACAGGCAGCACAAGGCTGAGTTTTGAGTGACTTTAGATTCCACTGCAATTTCTTACGGGGATGAATGATTTGTATGTCAAATCAATGAATGGCAAAGACATGTTATTTAATGAGATTAATGAAGCTCACATAAAACATTCTGTTTGCTTAGAAATGTATTTGACATTTCTGGGATATTGGCCCTAGGGAGGACCAAAACCTTCTTTAATGCTATGTGCAGTTTCAGGTTGGGAGCATAACTATATTTTCAGTTGCCTCTGATATGTAGCCTCAGAATTTAAACTAGTCCTGAACTCTATGAGGAAGACTTATTTTTCCTTTTTCTTTTTTTCCTCCTCTTGTTGATCATCTGGGTTAATACTTGGATGACTTCTAGACCTAGTAGCTCCCTTTAATAAATCAATCCCAATCCTATGCTTTTACAGTAGGCTAGCAAACAATGAAGACAAGTTTTTGGTGTCTTTGCTCTGTTTGGGGAATTCTGAACTATCATTTTCCTTTTCCTAAAGTTCTTCACTTTCTACTCTTTTCCTACTATGGTCTGGTTTTATCTTCCTTCTTCATGTTCACACTTGTCCCTTTCAATCTGACCATGATGAACACAAATCTGTCTATACATATATAAATATACTCTATTTATTTATCTGTCATTGAAACTATTCTCTTAGATGTTGTATTATTTATTTATTGCTATGCAACAAATTATCTAAAACCTTAACAGCCAAAAAAAACCTGTCATTGATTATCTCACACATTTCTGAGGGTCAGAAACCTGGTAGTTCCTGAGCTGGGCAGTTCTGCCTCAGGGTCTCTCATTAGGCTGCAGTCTATCTGTCAGTTGGACTTGCAGTCTCTTAAACTTGACCAGAGCTGGAAGATCCACTTCTAAGTTCACTCAGGAGCCTGTTGATAGGAGTCAGTTTCTCATCCCACATGCCTCTCTATACAGCTCCTCTTACCGTGGCAGCTGGCTTCCCCTAGAGTGAGCAATGAGAAGGACAGCAGCAGGTCTCAGAAGTGATATCATCACTTATGCTTTATTCTGTTGGTCACACAGACCAACTGTCACACAATGTGGGACAGGACTACATAAAAGCATAAATACCAGGAGGTGGATCATGGAGAGGCCACTATATTCTATCCCCTCTTTACTAGAGTGTATAAACTTAATTATAGGCAATGGAAGGGTTCCCTCTACCCTCATTTCTGTAGTAACATATAAATCCTTACATATAAATAAATGTAAACAAATAAAAACAAATATTATTAAAAAGATTTTATTTATTTATTTTTAGAGAGAGGAGAAGGGGGGAGAAGGGGAGGAAGAGAAACATCAAATGTGTGGTTGTCTCTTGTGTGCCCCCCAACTAGGGACCTAGCCCACAACCCAAGAATGTGCCCTAACTAGGAATTGAACGAGCAACTTGTTGGTTCACAGGCTGGCACTCAACCCACTGAGCCACACCAGCCAGGGCCAAATCTTATTTTTGTAAGAGGGTGGGGTTGAGGAAGCAGGCATATCAGGTCTTTGGTATTATTATATATTTACCCTGAAAACTGATGAGAAACAATTGTAAACATGGCTAGAACATCTCTAATTTAACATTCTGTGGGAGTGCAATCTGTTTCTGCCCCCAAAGAGTTATTTATCTAACTTTTAATGTGTTAGGACATTCCTAAGCAGCCCTCACTCCAGATGGAGGGAGGAGAGGCTCTAGAACTGTGT